TCTCCAAGTTTATCCATATCAGTGTTCTCAGGTTCGATATGTCCATCAGATCTGTAGCTCTTCTGCATCTCTGCTCTCTGCGGTTCCTCTCTTTGGCATCTCCCCTTTGCTTTCCCACATATATGAAACATATACTTGCCCATTTCCACACATGACCCTGCATTTTCCATCTCTTGTTAATGACACCACAACCCTTTACCCAATCTTTAAAGCCTCCCAAGTTGTTTTTATCACTTTTTGACCATGCTATCCTATTGACTCTCTCCCTTGGATACTTAAATAAATGGCTCATATCTGCTTTCTTTTTCTCCTTCCTTCCAGACACTTCCTTTGTTCAAGATTCTGCTCTTTGGAACCAAAGCCAACAAAATATGGTGGGATTTATATGAAGCTGCTGTGGTGAAATAGATTACTTCCTCTGTTAACCTAAAATTTAAAAAAAAGAAAGCTTGTTAATTTTTTCTGCTGTTTCGCAAGCAGTCTTTCTAAAACATTGAAGTGAAACTTGTCCCTTTTTGTTTAGAATTAATGATTATTTTAGGAAGAAAAAAATGTTTTTTCTGTGCTACACTCTTAGCATACCAAGTAAACTAAAGCACGCATGTTTCGTTTTGTAGGAATTATAGCTCACACATGGGACAACACTCGCCTACTGCTGAGTTCTGTATGAGCTGGGGCTCCTGTTAGCTGAGCTAAAGTTTGCTCGCCTTCTTCCCTTCCTTTGTTTAAGATAGGCTTTCACTGTGCAGCCCAGGTTGGTCTCACTCTAGAGCGATGGCATCGTAGGTGTGTTCTGCCTTTTCGAAAATTATGTCCCTGGGGCGTTTCTCTGATCCGCTACTACTTCATATTTCAAAACGTAGAGTCAGTGTCACCTCCAGGAAAACTTGTGAACCTTTCTTCTCTAATCAACTCAGGAACCCCTCTCTAACCACCACAAACTTAGTGTCCTTCCTTTGTAAGAAGACATTGTGTGGGGGCTGGAGAGATGGCTCAGAGGTTAAAAACACTGACTGTTCTTCCAAAGGTCCTGAGTTCAATTCCCAGCAACCACATGGTGGCTCATAGTAACCTATAGTGAGATCTGGTGCCCTCTTCTGGTGCACAGGCACACATGCAAGCAGAATGCTCTATAAATAATAAATACATTTTTAAAAAGAAGACATTATGCTTTATTTGGTTTGGTTTTGTGTTACTGAGATGAAACTATAGCTTCGTGCATACTAGGCCAATGCTCCAGCCCTACCACTGAGCAGATGACCAGAATCCAAATATACTTGCTTCCTCATCAACCTTTCAGTCTTTCCACTGTCCTTTTTCTGTTTCTGATTTCTTTGGTTCGTTAGCATATATTGTATACTGCCATGATCTCTATAGGGATTGACCTGAGTGAGTGGGGCAACAGGGAATGAAGAACTAACAGACACACATGCAGAGAAGCTGAGGTCAGGTGGGTCGTGCACTCTGGTGGAGGTGTAGCTGCTGGGAGCTCAGTGGGCTTGTTATATACAGCTGCACCAAGATGCTGCTTAGCTCGCCTCAGTACGGGCTTCTGCACAGGAGGCAGTCTCGGGCTCAGTCATCATCAGTCACCTACAGTGAAGCTGTGGTTGGTTGATACTTTCTGTTCACACTGGGATGGGGATACCTGGCTGAAGGAAGGGCCTTGCCATTTCCATGGCTGAAGTACTGTGGCACTTAACAGGCATGCTAATGTCATTTACTCAGGACTTCATTGCTCCCTACAATGTAGAGTGAGAAAAAAATGAAATTAAAATTTAAAATCCATCTTGTTACTTATTAAGAATTCTTAATAGGATAGGCTTGTAAACTAAAAAAGTATTATCACGAGCTAGAGAGATGACTCAACAGTTAAAGCACTGGCTGCTCTTCCAGGGGATCCAAATTTGATTTCCAGCACCCACATGGCACCTTACAACCATTATACATCCAGTTACAGAAGATCTGACACTTCCTCTGGCTCTTCAGGCACCAGGAATGCAGGGGGTATGTATGCAGCCATACATACTGGCAAAATAACCATCCCCATCACATAAAATAAAAGGTGTTATCAGATAGCCAAGCACGGCGGCACATACCTTTATCCTGTTGCTCAGGAGGCAGAAGCAGGTGGATCTTGGAATTCAAGGCCAATCTGGTCTGCATAGTCCAAGACAGCCAAGGCTATGTTACAAACCAAGTCTCAGGGGGAAAAAATGTGTGTGTGTGTGTGTGTGTGTAAATATGTATGTATATACACATATATCAGACATTAAATTTTGTTTTGCTTTTACTTTTTGTTAATTTTATGTGAGTTAGTGTTTTGCCTGCATGTGTATCAAAGTGATGTCAGATCCTCTGGAACTGGAGTTACAGACAGCTGTGAGCTGCCATGTGGTTGCTGGAAATTGAACCTGGATCCTCTGGAAGAGCAGCCAATGCTCTAAACCACTGTGACACCTCTCCAGCTCTTGCCTGTATTTCTTACATGAAGTTCATCTCAACTAAAATTGCATTGATTTCTTGGTTAAAGGAACCCCTTTATGGAATGTTTGACCCCAAGCCAGTCTAGAACTCACTGAGGTGATCCTTATACCTAGGTTTCCTATTGCTGGGAACACTGTTAATGATGCTGCTGAAGATTTATGAAAAGTCCAAAATGAAATGTATGGAAGGGCCAAAATTGAAGGAAAACAGTCTCTTTCTGGAGCTAAGGGTGATAATAGGTACCTTAAATATTACACCAAACAAGTTAAATTAAATGCTATATGATAGTTCAGACATCCTGTAGAGGATATATATGTAAGGGGCATGGAGACAGAAAAATAATAAGCCTATTGTTCTCCACCCCTTTAATCATGTTAAATGTAAAAAGTATTTTCTTCGACTCCACGTTGGCTTTAGAATCTGTTATAAACATTTGATATCCATTCCCTATTAATAGTAAACAGGAAAGCAGGAAAAACAACTGTTGGCATTTTGATGGTGTTCTAACTGTATATAGCATATGCTTTTATATAAATAGAATCACACCACCCACCTCAGTGCCCTCATTTTACTCAGTGTGTAATAGACATGTCTGTAAATGCAAGTAATCATTAGAATGTTAAAGTCTCAGAGTGAATGTGTTCTTGACTAAGTAAATTACATTTTAAACTTATGCTAAGGGAATAAAGACGATTTGAAAACATATATTATGAACCAGGAGTAGATATATTTACTGCCATTGATTGACAGTATATCAGGTAAAGAGTCAGTAACAATACATTGTTTCAGTTTTGCTTGAATTTTGTGTGTGTATATACACACTCATGAAAATTAACAATGAATGTAACAATTCTATATCTAGGAAAGAAAACTGTGTGTGTGTGTGTGTGTCTGTGTGTGTGTGTGTGTGTGTGTGTGTGTGTGTGTACACGCGCGGGAGCGTGCACAGAACTCCTATATAGACCAGACTGTCCTTGAACTCATAAAGATCCACCTGCTGCAGCTTCCTGAGTGCTGGAAATAAAGACATGTGTTACCATGCCCAGCCTCAGATAGTTTTAAATTTTGTTCCTTTTTTCCTGTTTTTTTTTTTTTCTTTCCTCAAAAACTTAGGTAAATTACATTATTTTTAAAAAGTATTTTGGAGACAAGACTAATAAAAATTGTAAATTGATTTTGTTGATACCAAGGACACTTTATTTGAATCCTTAACTATAGAATACTCAAAGCAATTGTTTTTTTTTTTCCTGAATGGTGTTCTAGTGGGCAATGGTTGAATAAATGTATGGGCTTTAGCTGTCTCTTAGGGACATGTATATAGATAGTATCTTGCCTTTTGAAGTTTAGTTCTTTGATTCTTACAGATGTTATTACCGAGGGATAATTTCTACTTTTAGTTTGGGATAGCATTTGCCTTTTTTTTCCATCAGTGAAACAGTGTCTTTGAGACTAGTCTCTATGTGACTCAGACTGGCCTTGAGCTCCCAAGCCTTCTGAGTGCTGAGATTATAGGTATCTACAACCATACCAGGTTTAGTCTTTCTACTGACTTTTTAGTCTTTGTGATAGCAAGCATTAGGTTTTTGTTTGTTTGTTTGTTTGTCTTATGGTACAATATAAATTCTTAAGAAAAAATATTTAGGGGCTGGAGAGATGGCTCAGAGGTTAAGAGCACTGGCTGCTCTTCCAGAGGTCCTGAGTTCATTTCCCAGCAACCATGTGGTGGCTCACAATCAGTATAATGAGATCTGGTGCCCTCTTCTGGCATGCAAGTGTACATGCAGACAGAACATAATAAATATTAAAATATATATATATTTAAGCCAGGGGTGGTGGCACACACCTTTAATCATAGCACTCAAGAGACAGGTAGAACTCTGACTTTGAGACCAACTTAGACTACAAGAAAGGGGGAGAATCAAGCAAAGATTAATGGCCAATGAGATACCTTGGAAGAGGCCTGATAAATTTGAATTTTAATCTCGGTTCCACAAGGTAACAGAAGAGAAACTGTTGAGAGTTGTCCTTTTATCCCCACACTTGTGCCAGAGCTCGTGTTTACACGTACACACACACACACACACACACACACACACACACACACACACACAAATAATAATAAAGATTAGGAGATTGCCCTGTAATGTCTATTCCATATGAAAGGCCCCAGAGTAGTTAATGTTTTATGGGCATTTTTGACAACCCCCTGTAATAAAAAGTATTTTAGGCAACCTAATAAAATTATTCCTTTTGTTTGGGATCTCAATAAAATGGATAATAGTATGGTTTCTTAAATATTTTCACAGAAAAGTAATTATTTGGTTGTGATTATGGTTGTATGTGAAGGTCGGTATAGCGTTTATGTGGTGCTGCGGCTGGGGTGCAAGTACTCCACCATAAGTAGTACCATCAAAAATGAAATTTGTGGATAGATACTGAAAATGACAGGAAGGTTACTGAGCCTGTTTACAAAGTCACATTACTGTGTGTGTGTATCTTGTTCCTAACACTAGTCATTGGCATCATGAACTGGAATAAAGGTGGCCCTGGAACCAAGCGGGGATTTGGCTTTGGAGGTTTTGCCATCAGTGCTGGGAAGAAGGAGGAAGCCAAACTGCCACAGCAGTCCCATAGTGCCTTTGGGGCAGCCAGCTCTTCTTCTGGATTTGGAAAGTCTGCTCCACCACAGCTTCCTTCTTTCTACAAAATTGGATCTAAACGGGCTAACTTTGATGAAGAAAATGCGTAAGTGATAATTCTTGGTGATTGAACCAGTTTGAGTTCTTTATTCCTTTGGCAGAAATTGAAGCAAAAAAATCTTGTTTTTCAAGTAATACTAATGACTTCCAGGATTGGGATCCCCCACCCCGACACAGTTTGTTACTTTTAAATTTGTTTAAGGACTATAATAATTGTATGCTTGCTTATATTATTCTAGGAAAGTTTTCTTCCTGATTAGTGTTCTAATCACTAGGTAACACAATAAACATGTGATTTTGGTGTTTGAGTCAACTGAAGCTTAAACTCTACTGAAGATTTTATATAATTCATGTGGCATTTGGTGGACTTGTTTTTTGAAGCAGGATCTCAATATGTAGCCCTACCTGGCCTTGAACTCACGATCCTCCTTCTTTGATCTCCTTAGTGCTATAGGTTTACTGACATGTGCCAACAAACCCAGCTGAGAATTTTTTCTGGTTTTTTGAGACAGGGTTTCTCTGTCGAGCTCTGGCTGTCCTGGAACTTACTCTGTAGACCAGACTGGCCTTGAACTCATAGAGTTCTGCTTCCTGAGTGCTGGCATCAAAGGCATACACTACCACCACCCCGCAAGAATACTCTTAATAGTGTAATGTACCACAGTGAAAGTTGTGTTGGTGAAGGTTTCAGTCACTTTACTAGTCTCTGTTTTAATTTTCAGGTATTTTGAAGATGAAGAAGAAGATTCCAGCAATGTGGATTTACCTTATATTCCTGCTGAAAACTCACCTACCCGCCAGCAGTTCCATTCCAAGCCAGCAGATTCTGACAGTGATGATGATCCCTTAGAGGCATTCATGGCTGAAGTGGAGGCAAGTTTGTTCCTTAAAGTACTGAGCAGATTGAAATAGGTAGCAATGGTCCCTTTTTTTTGGTCTTTTTGTTTGATGTTGGTGTTTTTAGAATTTTCTGAGGTAATCACTAAATAGCAGGAATAGTAAATTGCAACATTTGAACATAGTTAAATGAATGTTTTGTTATAATAATGTTAGTATATTCTTAAGTGGAATGCTGTCTATGCAATCTAGCATTTATTAACTCCTACTTCATAAGGAAGCTAAACCTAAAGAACTCTGTACACAGGTAAAAGTTCTGTATTCTGCAGTTTTGTTCTTTCCTGTTTATCAGCATTATCAACAATCATCACTTGTCTATAGAAACTGAAATCGTAACTACCTTCTTACATTGTCTCAGGCATCTTTTGGTTTTTGTACTTTCTTGTTTTCTTCCCATCTCTGACATTTTGCTCTGAACTTAAAGTATGGGAAACTTCAAATCTATAAAAGTGGAATAATGGAATGTACTCCTGTATTAGTCAGACAGCACCATTCTGACCGTACCTGAGGGAAGCCAGCTCAGAGGAGAAATCACAGTTTCACTGGAATCAGTTTCTTATTATGGGAACGGTGTGGTGGAGCACAACAGTTCACACCTTGATGTTAAGGAACCAGAGACAGGAAAAGGCCGGAAACAAGACAGCCACAAGGATCCACCACCTAAAGTTTCTAGAGCTTTCTCTGAAATGCCACCAACTCTGCACTAAGCCCAATGTAGGACCCTTATTCTTTTATTAGGTTATTTATTCACTTTGCCTCCTCATCACAGCGTCCCCTCCCACAAAGGACCCTTTTTTAGGAACACTTCATAACTAAATTATGACTTCCATGTATCCTTTGACCAACTTTTATCAACCATAAAACCAAGTAAGACTGATGCCTCTTCTCGCGCAGCAGCCTTAATAACGTATTCTTGCACCATGACAGCTTACCTCATAAGACCTGTGCTCAAGGCATGTATACAATTTTTTTTTTTTTTTAAATCCTGGCTTTATTCATTTATTGCTAGCTTGTTACCTGTTAGATACTTAGATTTCTCACTTTGGATTTAAACAAACTTATTTGTCTAAAGAAAATAAACCTTGTAGATGGCCAAGCCAGAATTCAACTCTAGTCCCCATATTCTTTGTCTCTCAGTTCTTCTAGCTTAGATTTGTTTGTTTTGAGACGGTGTTTATGTAGTCCTGGTTATTCTGTAGCTCACTATACCAGGCTGGCCTTGAACTCACAGTGATCTTTCTGTCTCCGCATTCTGAATTCTGGGATTAAAACCATGAATAACGGTCCTGATCTTAACTTACATATTTTGGCAAGTCAACAAACCATTGAAGACACTTAACAAAACTTACAAAAATTATTCAGGGCATACATGTGTATTACAACATAGTAGGTATTGAATAAATATGTTAAATAGTTAACTTTAAAAATGAGAGATTTGTAGTGTTTGAGATGACTTATACACAATGTTTTTTTGTTGTTTAAATGATGGAAAATCCCAGCCGTACCATTTTACCAATAAGGACTCAGGAGCCAGAAGCTGGGGTGAAAATCTTCTAGTTCAGAGAGGCAGAGAAAGCTCTCACCTGATCTTCCTTCTCAGCCTAGATTCGGATGGAAAAGCCCAAAAGGCTCACTATTACAACTGACAGCCCAGGAAGAAAAGGCCAAAAAAACCCAAGGCCAAAGGCTTGCTAGTTTAAAGCCCAAAAAGCCAGGGAGCTGAGGAGCTAAAGCCAAAGCTTGAGCTAAAGGCTTCTCTACACTGTCTTATCTCTCTTGGAACTTCCACCTTTTTTCTCTGCCTCAACTATTGGCAGCTCAACTCTTTATTAACCAGTCAGAAGGTGTTGGAGGGAGTGTTTACAAAATATGATGCAGCAATAAGAATAATAACAAAGTCTGGCCTGTAATCAGATCTTTTCCAGATACAGAAGTCAGCATTTGAATAATACAAAGACAACCTTTACACCGTGCGCAAAAAAATGAATCACCTCAACACACATAGCATGTACACTTACATACATGTAAGCAAAACATTCATACAATAATAATAATAATAATAATAATAATAATAATAATAAATCTTTTTAAAAAGAAAAATAAGCCAGGTGTGATGGCACAGACAGACCTTGAATCCCAGCACTCAGGAGGCAAAGATCCCTGAATTCAAAGCTGGCCTGGTCTACAGAGTAAGTTCCAAGACAACCCCAAGCTACACAGAGAAACCTTGTCTAGAAAAACAAACCCCAAAGAATTGTGTTCTGCAAATGTAGTGATTTGTTTCAAATGTAACAACATTGTTGGTTTTGTGGTCAGTTTATAGCCCTAGCTTTGTCTTTAGCAGCTCAGTCCCTTCAAAAGTGATTGTATGTAATGTGTTTCTTTTAAAAATAATTTCTCTTTGGTGAAAAATTTTGATTTATAAGTTATAAGAACAGCTGATCATGTCATGGCATATGTAGTGGCGCTTTTTTTGAAAAGGTACAAAGGCTGGAGAGACAGTTCAGCAGATGTAAGAGCACTGTCTTCTCTTCCAGAGTACCACCTGGGTTTGCGTCCCAGTACATGCATGGCAGTTCACACTCTTTAAGTCCAGCCCCAGGGAATCCAGTGCATCAGTGCCACCTGCAGCCTCTGCAAGCACTCTACACACATGGTACACAAACATACTTGCAGGCAAAACATATAAATACATATAATTAAATTAAAATAAATAGATAGAAAAATTCACATTCTCTTGATCGTCAAAGGCTTTGGGAAAAAATAATTTTTCTAGCATTGACTTCCAAATGTATAAAACAAAGGATCAGCTTAGATCAGTGATTTGTCATTGTCATTTTTTTATTGTATAAGAATGGCCTATGGAAAGCATAACAACGATACACTTTTAATTCTGTTCCTAAAGATTTTAATTTAGTGGCTTATAGCACATTTTTAACCTTATTAATATTTATGATTAGGTAATTTTTGTTACAGGGTTTTGTTTTTGGTTTTGAGAGAGTCTCTCTGTGTACTGTTGGCGTAGGTTTTTAAAACTTTTTTTACATTTTTAAAATTTTTTTTCTCCCTACTCCATTCCAGTCCCTTCCAGCACCCAAACATCAGGTAGGAGATAGAAAGGGTTAGTGGGAGAGGGGGCGCAGTTCTCTTAGCTGCTTACTGCTGGTTAGGTTCCTTGGAGCCAATCCAATCCTTGTTTCAGGAGATCTCCAACTTTTTTTTTTTTTTTTAATTTATTTATTTCTTATGTATACAATGTTCTGTCTGCATGTACACCTGCTTGCCAGAAGAGGACACGAGATCTCATTCTAGATGGCTGTGAGCCACCATGTGGTTGCTGGGAATTGAACTCAGCACCTCTGGAAGAGCAGCTAGTGCTATTAACCTGTGAGCCATCTCTCCAGCCCGATCTCCAACTTCTTGTCTCACAACAGCAACTAGGGAGCAGCAAAGGGGAAACAGGAACAGCCTTGTTCTTTCTTGGAGCCTCCACACTCTCTGGGCTCTGGCATTTAATTTATTCTCTCTCCAAAGTCCTCAGATTTAAACTATCTGCAACTGGCAAAGAGCTCCTCTCAGAGCCTGCATGAGGCAAATTGCTGCTGTGGACCATCTGAGTCAGTCCCACATCTCACACCTGGGACCAAAACAGAAACATGTTTATATCCACAGCAGTATATCCCTGCTTCCTGGAACTCACTATGTAAACCAGCCCGGCCTTGAACTCACAAAGATTTGCCTACCTTTACCTTGTAAGTGCTTGGATTAAAGGTGTGTGCCACTTGCAGGGCTTTAGGGCTATGCTTGTTGGGGAATGTTTAGAAGCATCTCTAGCCCCTGCCAGCCTGTATCACTATTCTTACTCATCCCACCGCACTCTAAATTTGTAAAAACAAGTTTATTTGCCACATGTTGGGAGGCAGGGTCACTATAGGGCCAGATACGGTGGCCTAGCCTATAATCACAGCACTTGCACCACTAGACAGGCTGAAGAAGGAGCATCATTAGGGGGGGCAGGCCTAGGCCATAGAAAGACCTCGCCTCAAAAAGACATACCCTCAACCCCACCCCCACCCCCCACCGCTGCTGCTGGAAAAAAGAAAGAAAGGGGAGGGGAGGGGAGGGGAGAATCACTCTTAAGGTCAGAGTCATCCTTTTAAAATAAGAGCCAGAACTCAATGTACATATTTCCCCCCCACCTTTGGCTTTTGTTTTTTGTTTATTTTGGTGGTGGTGGTGGATTTTGGTTTTGTTGTTTTAACTAGGCCTATTTATTTCAAGCTACACTTAAAGAAAGTCTGATTTGCTTGAATTTAAGGACATCTGTAGCAAGTTATTTTCTAAGAAAAATTAGCAAAAATTATTGGTGAATTACGTATTTAGTAAATGTATATGTATGTATGACATGTATTATAATTAAAAATTGAAATCCTATGTATAGTAAAAGACATTTGGATATTTGTTTTTGAAAAATATTTGTCAAAGCTTCCTGAAAGGTTACATAAAAATGCAAGTGTCAAAACACGTAAGGAAAGCTGTGATGAACATGTTTCAGTGTATAAACTGTTTGTATTGAAATTTCTCTTGCAGTGCTTTAAATTGCTATGACTCCATGTAGCCTTTTGTTTCATTAGGATCAGGCAGCTAGAGACATGAAGAGACTTGAAGAAAAGGACAAGGAAAGAAAAAATGTAAAGTAAGTTGTTTTCTTCACTCTCACAAAGGTTACATAGAAATTGTCGAAGTATCACAAAGATTATTCATAAAAATTTATAAAGGAAGAATATTAAAGTACACAAAGATGTTTACTTGAGATATGTCTGTATCTTGAGTATTTCTCTAGATATCAAGGTGGCAGAAGTCTGTATTTGTAGTAACTAAAAGGTATTCTGTTTAGAAGAATAGTATTTGGTCATAAATAATTGTCAGGGAATTGGGAAATGAATTATAGTGAGGATAAAGGAAGTGTAGTTACTAAGGTTTGGGTTCATTGTCTTGGCAATCGTCTCATAATAATAAATAGGCTAATACCTATGTAACCAATTTTTAGAAGTTATGGTGATTATATAGTAAAACTATATAAAAACTAGGAATAAATAAAACCTAACTTCATCTAAAGAGTGATGTTACTCTTTAGCAACCAAACCCTGAACTTGAATACTTTATTTTCTGGAAAAGAAACCTTCCTTTGCTGAATACACTCCTAAACCTTTTGCCAGATGTGTTTGAACCATTCTCTCCGTGCTTGGTAATAAGTCCTGCTGAGGCCCCTCCCAAGGTTTCTATGCCAGATAGAGATTCGGTCATCTTTTGATGCTTGCTCTGTGTTCAACCTTCCTAGCTGCCCTGTGCTAGTAGTATTGTGTGCAGGTTGCCTAAGGAATAAAACACTCTTTAGTTAGGTAGAAAGTCTGATTAGAAAGAGATGACTGTGAGAAGTAAGCAATAATACTTTATGCGGTAGACTCCTAAGAGATAGAGCAAGTTCCATTCTTTATGTGAAATACTAGTTTTAATTCCAAATTCCTAAAAAGATTAATGTAGTTTTCTTTCTTTTCCTATCCCCAAGATAACTGATTTTGGTTGAAAGCTATTATTCTAGAGCTTGAAGCTACAGGGACAATAAAGTTGTGGTTTTCTTTCAACAGTATACCAAATCCAGGGGGGTTTTTCTTTTATCATGTAATACTTCACACAGCTTTGTTATCTTTGTTGTATATATTGACAAAGCTTAGGCTCCTTCAGGTACCCATCTTCAAGAAAGGCTTTACTTCTTTTTTGTTTGTCTTGAGACAGGGTTTCTCTGTGTAGCCTTGGCTATCCTGGAACTTACTCTGTAGACCAGGCTGGCCTTGAGCTCACAGAGATCCTCCTGAGTGCTGGGAATAAAGGCATGCACCATCACCACCCAGCTAGGTTTTCCTTCTCACATCAGTTAGTAATTTTATGTTTCAAGGAGTACCATAGCATCTCATTGAAAAAAGAGGGACAGTTTAGCTCATAGAGATAAGCCACACATGTTATGGGTGGATGGTGTACAGTGTGCTTATTGCTGCTTTGTTATCATTAGTGTTGAGAGTTCCTGTACTGTGCGGAATTCAACACTAATCTGCTGTAAGTATGAAGCTGGGTATGTGGAACATTTGCAGGGAAGTTTGTTTCTCCGCTTGTTTTTCCAGGGGTATTCGAGATGACATTGAAGAGGAAGATGACCAAGTGAGTTTCTATGCAGTATTTCTACTTTTTATTTTTACTCCACAAAGTCTGTACTGGGGACAGGCTAGAGCTTGCCTTCACTGAATGACTTGCTCCTTGTATACCTGTGTAACCAGTTAGTACTCTATTCATTATGGCCTCCCCGTGTTGAAGGTGGGATTGTTGGTCAGTTGACAGAAAAAACAAAAATGAACTTTGTTCTGTTTTGTTTTGTTTTGTTTATAATCAAATTTTAAGTTTCCTCTGATAAACCAGTGGTAGAGTGGTGTGGGGTCTGCTGCTGGCCTTTGCTTTTTTCCAGTAGTTGTTTGTGACTCTTAAATTTTACATAGAACATCAATAACTGTCCGTTAGACTTCTTTTTTCCGTTGTTTAGTTGTGGGATAGAGAACTATATAGACTTTTCCAGGTTTGTGAGCTTTGTAATCAATATCAACTTCCAAACTTGGATTGATGTAAAGCCAAAGCATGTGTTCTTCAGCTCTGGGAAGGGTAATACGATGTCCCTACAAACAGGAAGGCTTCTGTTAAATAAGTCAGGTTGTTGTATAATGATTGTCTTGCTCATTGATTCTGAGTATTGCTATTGTAAAGGAAATCATTGCTAGTGAAAGTCTTTCCTTATTGGTAGTAATTTGTTTAAACTGAAAGCTTATGGTACACTGTGTGTGTACCAATTACAAAGGTAAAAATGGTTTTAATTGTACTTAGATTTGATTGTGCTCTTGTGCTTTCCTGCAGGAAGCCTATTTTCGATACATGGCAGAAAACCCAACTGCTGGGGTGGTTCAGGAGGAAGAGGAAGACAACTTGGAATATGATAGTGATGGAAATCCAATTGCACCTTCCAAAAAAATTATCGATCCTCTTCCTCCTATTGATCATTCAGAGGTATTACATTTCTTGCTTTGTTTCACACTGATACAGTTTCATAGTTTGGGCTTTCTTTCTGCTAAGTGATTAGATCAGAAATTCCACGAGGAATTAATAGTCTTACAAACTAGCTCACTGTAGTCTCAGCACCTATGAGGCAGAGGCAGGAAAATAGCCAAAAGTTTGAGGTCAGCCTAGGCTATGGAGTGAATTGCAGCTTAGCTTTGTTTACTCAGTGAGACTCTGTTTCAAAACCAAAAAGGCTTTCTGTAAGCAGTTTCCTACTATATAAAAAGGAAGTTGGGGCTGGAGATTTAACTCAGTTGTTAAAGTGCTTGACTACCATGCACAAAGCCTGTTTTCTAATCCTAGCATTTCATAAAACCAAGTGTAGTGCATGCCTCTAATCCCAGCACTATTAAGGCCAGTCTGGACTACATACTAAGATGCTCTCTCAAAAAATAATCAAAACAAATCAACAAAAAATAGGCTTGGTCATTAATTTTAGGTTATGTAAGCAGCTTCATAGCTTTAAATTTTTTTATTTTTTTGGAACTGGGGAAGTGACTAGGTAGGAAAGAGTGCTCGCTGCTTTTCAGAGGACCTGAGTGTGGTTCATAGCACCCACACTCCCATCAGGCACCCACACTGTTTATAAACCTAGTTCCGAGGAATGTGATGTCCTCTTGTAATCCCCAGGCGTCTGCACATATGTAGCATACATTCTCAAAGAGTTTTCGCTTTTAGTGAGGTGTGTATGTGGCGGGGTGCTCTGTGCACATGAGAGAAGTGTCCAAGGAGGCCAGAAGAGGGGGTCTGACCTCTCTGAAGCTGGAGTTAAACACAGTTACAGGCCACCCACGGTGCATGCTGGACAGTGAGCATGGATCCTCTGCAAAGAGCAACATGCAGAGCCATTTCTCCAGCTCTAGGTTCATGCTTTAAAAAAAAAAAAAAAAAAAAGAATTAGAACTCCTTCTGAAAACAATGCTGTGTCTAAAGGAAATACTGAAAATGTTTTTAAATGGTTGGACCTGGATGAACAAGTTAATTCTAAACATAATTAAATGTTATTTGTGAAATCATTGCTTTAAAAAAAATGTGTTCTCTGAGACTTTTAGCACTGCAGTGATTTCTTGTTCTGTTGCATGTTATTAAAGCCTAAGCTGTCTTTGGGAAGTAAATTGGTGTCTGTTTTAAAAGTAGGAATTGGAAAAAATGTAGGCTGTGCTTTTGTGTCAAGGATAAATAATTTCATTATCTTTCTAGCAAGAATGCCTTTATTTTATAATATTTGTAAAATATTATTTTACACTAAAATCAAACTTACAGGATTGACTCTTGAATTCTAGACTAACTTTGAATAATTGGACCTGCAGATTGACTATCCACCATTTGAAAAAAATTTTTACAATGAACACGAGGAGATAACCAACCTCACTCCACAGCAGTTAATAGACCTGCGGCATAAGCTCAACCTTCGGGTAAGAATCGTTAAGCAGGCATTCTTACATTAATGTTTGCATAGGTTTAGAATTATTATTTATTTAGATAGTAACCCTGGATTTATTTTCTAGGAAGAGGAATAATTTTAGCTCTGGGGTTTGTGTGTCTTCATTTGATTGTTTTATCCCTGTAGGTGATATTTGCAAAGATTATTTTGGTTTTAACATTTCCTCCTTTAAATACTGTGTGTGTGCATGCGTGTGCTTGTAAATCTCTGCAAGGGCACCTGCAGAAGTTGGCTCTCCTTCCGCAGTGTCGTTCCTGAGGACAGAGCTCCCAGGTGCCTTCACCTACCCAGCCTTCTCAACAGCCCTATATTTTATTTTGCATATTTAGTCAACTTTGTGCTGAGGTGGGTAGGAAACTTCTCTTCAGAGACAGGAAGTAGAATTGATAATAGATGTGAACAGCAGATCAAGTGTTAGAATATTTTGAAATTATGATACATTTTGCTTCAAGTTATATGTGAGGTACTCCTTTTAAAATATTAAATAAATGAGGAGCTGGAGAGTTGGCCTAGTGCTTGCTGCTTAACATGAGGACTGAAGTTCAGATATTTGCATGTAACAAGCTAGGCATCCCACAAATACCTGTAATCAAGCTCAGAGGGATTAGACTTTCTCCTGGATACACACACCAAAATCATTTGGGGTTTTTTGAGTATTCAAGTAAATGATTGTCTTTTTAAACTATATGTACTAATTTTAGAATAATACTTTGAGTATTATTGAGTTGCTCACTCACGTATTGTTTGAAATATGTTTGTATGTTACTTAACAGTCAACTAGCAGAGAGAATATGCTGATTCACGCTGGTGTGAATGACTGCTTTATTTCTGCCTTATTAGTTGCTACATATTTTTTCAAAGACTTGGTAGTGTGTGCGTGTGTACATGTACACACAAATATATGTTTGCATTCTTGTTTTCTAAGAAGTTACTAGTATCCATCTCCCCTAAATAAAGATGTGTGTGTGTGTGTGTGTGTGTGTGTGTGTGTGTGTGTGTGTGCATGCGCGCGAGTGTGCTAATGAAATCCTTATTGGATATCATAAGCATCATCAGAGAAGCAATGTAAAGTTTGTACTACTATATAAATAAAGTAGCAGTCAATAGTCCCTATTCTTTACTGGAACCCATTTGGAACAAGACTTGATAGTGGCTAGATCATCACTAATGGAAGCATTAACTCTAGAGACATCAGTAGGGTGTGTCTATATAACCAGTATCTGTAAATATGTTTTCATTTTATTTGCAATTTTAATTTACTTCAAGAGTGCATCTTACATTTTTCTATTACCCAACTTAATGTTTATTCAAAATGGTAAAAAAAATGTTAATGACTTTTTCCAGTTAGTTGAATAATTTGTTTCTAGTTCTTATGAGAAAATTAATTTTAAGATAGTTTTAGGTACTTAACCATTTAAAATCATGTGATTGAACTATGTTGGGAGTCCTTACCATGGTGTCTTTTGCATGAGGCCCACGTTGGGTTTGAGGTTTTACCTTTTTGGTGTATGCTTTTGCTTCCTCACTTACTTTTCACTTCACAGTCTTAGCTAACGTGCTTGATCTGAATAATGTTGAACTGTAAATGCTGTTTAAGTGAAAGTACCGCTCTTCCTGGGAATTGTCTTGATGTCTCTAGGTCTCTGGTGCTGCACCTCCTAGACCAGGAAGTAGTTTTGCTCATTTTGGATTTGATGAACAACTTATGCACCAGATTCGGAAATCTGAGTACACACAGCCAACTCCAATACAGTGTCAGGTACGTGAAATGCAATGGGAGGAAAATACAAAGCCCTGAAACTTCTAAAATGTGAAGAAAAATGAGAATTCTTGAAAAATGTGGTTTTTTTTTTTTTTTTTAATTTGCTAAGTACCTTGAAAAATATGAGATAGAGATTACCTAAACCTCACAAAAAAAGATTTGTGTATGAATATATTTGGCGTTTTCAGTGACTAGAATTCCTTTGTATCTGATTTTAAATTTTTTTTTCATTTATTATTGAGACTAATAGCTTCTGTTTCCGGTTCCAAACGTGGGATTTGTTGCATTAAGAAAAATAATGCGGTTGGGTGGTGGTGGCACACACTGTTAGCCCCAGCACTCAGGAGGCAGAGGCAGGAGGATCTCTGTGAGTTCAAGGCCAGCCTGGTCTACAGAATGAGTTCCAGGACAGCCAGGGCTACACAGAGAAACCCTGTCTAAAAAAGAAAGAAAAAAGAAAAATATTGCAAAATTTCTGCATATAAATGAAGTGGTATATTTTTAATTTTTTTATGTATATGGGTGTTTCTCTTGCTTGTATATTTGCTTACCAGTTTCATGCAGTACCTGCAGAGGCCAGAGGAGAAAGTTGGATCCCCTCGAACTGGTATTACAGACAGTTATGGGTTATCAGTTATAGGTGCTCAGTATTGAACTCGGATCTTCTGGAAGAGGCACCAGTAATCTTAACCACTGTGTCATCTCTCCAACTTCATTCAAAATACTTTAGTAGCTCCTTTCATAAACCATAAGTTTTTATTTCAATATGTCGATATAGATGGGAGTCACTCGTCTTCTGTTTTGTTTTGTTTTGTTTTGTTTTGTTTTATAAATGATGGCTGAACCACATGAAGATAGTATTTCATTTAAGTTGATGGGAATGTCAGGATTCAGCTAGTGTTCAGTGAATATTTTTGGGCCATTGGAAATGAATGTCACTTGTAGTTATTTTTCCCAAGACATTAGTTCATCCTGAGAATTGAAATTTTAGAGTGTTTATATCTTTTCTTTCTTTTCTAGGGTGTGCCTGTAGCATTGAGTGGTAGAGACATGATTGGTATTGCTAAAACAGGCAGTGGGAAAACTGCAGCCTTTATTTGGCCCATGTTGATTCATATAATGGATCAGAAGGAATTGGAACCAGGCGATGGACCAATTGCTGTGATTGTGTGTCCTACTAGGGAGCTTTGTCAACAGGTATGTACTTCGTATAAAAGACCCCCTTCTACGTTTGGACTAGCAGGGGACAGTGAGGAGAACGACTGTGAAGTTTAGTTATTGTTGCTTGGAGGTGAGTGGTTGGCACACACATGCATGTGGGTCACATATGAAAGGTCAGAAGTTGACTTTTGGGTGTCTTCCTTTAATTCATCTTCATATTGCTGGGCTGTGACAACTGGTCTGGCTAGAGAGTTTGTTCCATGGCTTCTGTCTCTACCTCTTGGATGTCCCTGGGGTCATTTGCAGTACACCATTCCCACCCAGATCTTGTTTGGGTTCTAGAAGTTTGAATGTCATTCCTCATGCTTGCATGGCAAGTGCTTTAACCCTCTGAGCCATCTCCCCAGTCTCCCCCAACTTTCGTTTTAAATGTGATAAAACTAAAAACAAAATTGGGCATCTTAACCCATTTTAAGTATACAGTTCATTAAGTATATTCACATTATTATTATGTTCCCAGAGAAGTCTTGGGAAGTGTTACATATTATTCATAACAAGGATAACATAACTTTTTTAACTCTCAAAAGGATGTGGTTATTGTGGGAATTGTTTGTATTATAAGTTCATAATGTTTTCTCTGTAGTGAATTTAATTTTCTTGGTAGAAAGACAGGATCAAAAAGAGGATGAATGATTCAAAGCAAGATTATAGCCTTATTTTATGATTAAGTTGGGTGTGGTTGTGCATGCATTTAATTGCTGCACTCAGGAGGCTAAGGCAGGAGGCTTGCCTGGTTTGCCCTCGAATGTTAGGCAAATAAGCTTTATGCCCAACCCTCCTCGGTTTGTAGTTTTCTAGTGTTTGTTTTTTGAGATTGTGTCTTATTAAGTTACACAGGCTGGACTTGAACTTGCTGTCTTCACCTTTCAGGTACCTAGAATTACATGCCTATACCACTAGGCACAGCTAGATTTTTCTTTTCTTTTTTAAGTTGTATATTTATTTTATTAATGAGTGCTCTATCTACATGTACACCTGCCTGCCAGAAGACGGCATCAGATCACATGATAGATGGTTGTGAAGCCACCATGTGGTTGCTGGGAATTGAACTCAGGACTTCTGAAAGATCAGATGGTGCTCTTAACTGCCGAGCCATCTCTCCAGCTCATAGGTTTTGATTTTTTTATATTTAGCACACACTGTGTTGTTCAGAGCTTTCTTTTCAGTAATAAGAAAAGTGTCTGTTAAGCTTACAGTTTTTAAAATATTATTAACAACTTTTTAGATCCATGCAGAATGTAAGCGGTTTGGAAAAGCGTACAATCTTCGCTCGGTGGCTGTGTATGGAGGAGGGAGCATGTGGGAGCAGGCCAAGGCCCTTCAGGAAGGGGCAGAAATTGTTGTGTGCACCCCAGTAAGTATATCGTGTTCAAATATGTTTTCCATCTCTCGATATAAAAAACATGATTACTTTTGAAGGGAATTCCTTCTAAACTGTAGTAAAGCTGGGCTGGGAATATCCTGGTGAGTTGCCAGCATTTGGTTTTGGATTATTATTGGTTGACTAAACAGGAATCTAGTCACAATATCTGTGACCCATATATTAGTAGCTACAAATTCATTACTATTTTAAGCAAGTTTTCTTAGGCTCTCCTAAAAGCAGGGTCTGTGGTTACCAAGAGCATGAAAAGCCGTACAGATACTCAAATCATGGTTAAAACTGACCAGAGCACGTAGGTTAAACATTAAAACTCATCCATAGTTTTTAAATCTTTTCAGAATATATTATAAGAATGGTTCTGGTCCACTTGCCTACAGAGTTTAAACCCTTTTTAAGATACAGGAAGAACTTGAGTTTTCAGAATTGTCTTCTCACTGAGTGTGGTAGTGCACGCCTTTAGTATCATTGCATTAAGAGGCAGCTGCAGACAGACCTCTGAGCTCCAGGCCATCTGTGAACACCTTGTCTCAAGAAAAAAAAAGTTTTTCTGATTGAGTACATAAAAGCTGTCAGATCATTATCTATTTCTGTCCAAAACCAAAGAATTGCTACTTTTTCTAGGAGTGTAGAATGTCTTTGTGAATAACTTTAATTATACTTACTATTTTGTGACTTTCACAGGGTCGACTGATTGATCATGTGAAGAAGAAAGCTACTAATCTTCAAAGAGTCTCTTACCTTGTGTTTGACGAAGCTGATCGAATGTTTGACATGGGATTTGGTATGCCTTGAATATTAGTTTCTTCTGTCCCTATCCTCATGTTAGCTTTTCCCTGTATCTTCCTAGAGTACTTTTCATTATGAAAGAAGTTAAAATATTTCTGATTCTCAAACAAAGGGATAGGTCAAACCGTGAACCATTTGTAGTTTTCTGAAGAGAAGTGTGCTAGTCTTGACTGTGCTGAGAAAATTTGCAAGTGGCTTATGACAGAGGGACTGTTTTCTTTGTTCTTTATTTTTACTCACAGGCCTTTGAGGGTTAAAGTCCATATTCTTGGGTAGGTGAATATTAAATCATCTAAGGTTCTTTTCTGGCCTCTTTGGCTTAACCTGGCTAAGCAAGTTTCTAAATAACCATTGTCTACCCAGTTCAGCTACATTGAAGTTTCATATTGAATAGTATCTGGGAGTTTGAAGGCTTTTTTAATCCTTGAAAGTTCTCATGTGGATTTTACTAAAGTGACCTTTCACACCTGTCTTTACTGCATTACAGTATTGTGTTAATTACTGTTCTGTCTCTTTCAGAGTATCAGGTTCGGTCCATAGCAAGCCACGTCCGTCCTGACAGACAGAGTATGTATGAAGTAGCCTTATAATAAGTTTATCTGTATTCAGAATGAACACCAGTTTATAAGTACAGTTATGAAAGGAAAAATTACTATGTCTGTGCTGAGGAAAACTGTAAAGAGGAGAGGTAATGACTATTTATTGGAGCTAGAAAGGACATTAGAGATCATCAGATACAACTTGTGTTTTGTAGCAGTGACTCTGCTTCTCTGAGCTGTATATGTATCTCCACCTACCCCACCCGCTTTCTTCACCTTATTTTTTAGGTAGAGTCTTTCTAGGCTGACTAGACTGTTCTTGAGCTCTCAGTAGCTACGCAGCTAAGAACTTGCGGTTCTCCTGCCTCACCCTACAGATAGCTGGGTTTACAGGTTCTTGCCACCAGGCCCGCACACTGCTCACTTTTTATTGGTGTTGAAACCAAAATTAAATAATTTATTGTGTATAGATCTGCTGATTTTAAAATCAAAGTCTTTTCCTGAACTGTTTTGACAACTCATTTCATTATTGCAAATGAAGTAAAAATAAAAGAATTATTTTTATTTTGTGAATCGGTTATATTACATAAGCTTATTGAGTGGATTTAGTAAGAAATGCTTTTTCTTTAACAGATTTTGCTCTTATCTTTTAGCTCTTTTATTCAGTGCAACGTTTCGGAAAAAGATTGAAAAATTGGCCAGAGATATCTTGATTGACCCTATTCGAGTGGTGCAGGGAGACATAGGAGAGGTAATGCTACCAAGGCAGGGTGGGTCCTGGGGTTTATTTTTCATAGGACATATGTTGGCTAGAGTTTAGTGCTTAAGTAATGATTGTTTTGTTGTTTCTTTTGTTTTTGTTTTTTAAAACAGGGTTTCTCTGTGTAGCTCTGGATGTCCTGGAACGCACTCTGTAGATTAGCCCTCTGCATCCTGAGTACTAAAATTAAATGCATGTGCGTCATTCCTGGCTCTTCAGTAATGATCGGAAAATTAAAATGTTACTCTTATGTATGCAGATTTGTTTTTAGATACACAGTTAAGGCATAGCATGGCCCAGTGTAGATACGTGGAAGCTGAGGGAGGGGTATGTGGGGGTTATGTTTGTTTCATCTTTTGTTACATGTTTAATTTTTTATTATTTATTTATTTTATAAATTTTTAGTTGTTTTGGGTTTTTTTGAGACAAGGTCTCACTATGTAGCTCTTGTTGTCCTGGAACTCACTCTGTAGATAAGGATGGCCTTAAACTCAGAGATCTGCCTGTTTCTGCCTCCTGAATTGCTGGAATTAAAGTCCTGGTATACTGTGCCTGGCTTTTTCCACAAGCTATTAATGTATTAAAAGTTTTTAAAAAGCTAGGTGGTGGTGGCATACTCCCATAATACCCAGCTCAGGAAGTAGAGGCAGGTGGCCAGTCTGGTCTACATAGTGAGTTCCAGGACAGCAGTGCTATTACACAAAGAAACCCTGTTTCAAAACAAACTAACAAAATAAGTTTAAGAGAAATTAAAAAACTGCCTGGAAGACTCAATAAATCAGAATAGAACCGACATTTAAAAGATTATTAAGACTGCACAGGGTGACATTGGATCTTTTGAGGATCTGGTAAAGAATCACTTTGATTTCGTGCTTACCTCCCTATGGCCTTGTGTGGTGATTTCTCTGAATTGGAATTTGGAATTCAGTAAAGTTGTTGAGAGAATTCCTTGGGAGTCAGTAGATGGCTCAAGTAATGGTGCTTGCCTCTATGCTTGGATTCAGTTCCCAGGAAGATGAGAACTAATTTCTGCAAATTGTTCTCTGACCTTCGTGTATGTACCATAGCATATGGAAGCAAGAATGTATGTGCACGTGCACACACACACTTTTATTACTATTATCTTTAATGCAAATGTCTTGGTTAGTTTCTGTTGGTGTGATAATGACCATAATCAAAAGCAGTTTGGGGAGGAAGGGTTTTATTTAGCTTACAATAGTAGTTTTAGTGAAGGAAGGGCAGGGTAGGCGCTGAAGCAGAGACTGTGCAGAAACACTGATTACTGGCTTGCTTCCTGTTGCTTGCTCAGCCAGCCTCCTTTCTTATACAACCCAGGACCACCTGCCCAGTGTGCTGCCCTCCCCTCTGAGTTAACAAGCAAGAAAATACTCCACAAATTGTCTACAGATGTTTTCTCAATTGAGGTTCTTCTTCCCAGATAACACTAGCTTATATCAAGTTGACAAAAATAATAACAATATTTTTGACACAATATTTCAATACATGTATTGAAATGTATGTAATGTAATTAGCATTATCTAACACCTTAAATAGTTATTTCTTTGTGTTGGAAACAGATCTTCTCTATGTATGTAATCACTAATTATCCATAGCTATAGCTTTTCATTATTTTTAACACACTTTATATGTCAGATTCTCATTTCTTAATATACTTACGTATAAGTTGTGCTTGACAATGAGTGGGCATTACCCTGAAAAGTAGTTTACTCCCCTGGGAATAATAAGAATAGGCATATAGTTTCTCTTCTGGTCCCAGACAGTGCGGGAGCCACAGGTTACTGGGCAAACATGGCCAAGTCCAAGAACCACACCACACACAACCAGTCCCAGAAATGGCATCAAGAAATCCCAGTCACAAAGATACGAATCTCTTAAGGGGGTGGACCCCAAGTTCTTGACATGCGATTTGCCAAGAAGCACACCAAGAAAGGCCTGAAGAAGCTGCAGGCAAACAACGCAAAGACAATGAGTGCATGAGCAGAGGCCATCAAGGCCCTTGTGAAGCTTGCAGCTGTTAAGCCCAAGATGCCAAAGGGCCCTAGCCGCAAACTCAGCCATCTGGCTTTCATCACTCACCCCAAGCTTGGGAAGCAGGTTCAAAGCTACACGGCCAAGGGTCATAGGCTCTGCCAACCAAAGCCCAAGGTTCATACCAAGGCAGAGGCCGCAGCTCCAGCTAAGGCTCCCAAAGGTTCCCAGGCACCTGTGAAGGCCCCATAGGAAAGGCTTCTGTTAATGTGAAGACACACCCACCTACACGCTATTTACAGATGCCCAGTGTCCTATGCTGTTTTAACAGATAAACCCAAGACAGGATCTGTTAAAAAAAAAAAAAAAAAAAAAGGCATATAACAATCATTACAGATTATTGGGGCATACAAGTTAGATGTGAACATACTGTGGGAAGTTGATGAGCAGGGTGTCTTGAAAGAATAGTAAGTTTTAAGTTGTGTTTGACGTACTAAAGGAAGACCAAAGACATGAGGGTGTTGCAGGGCTGTTTCCATGCAGGCAGGAACTATCATACCTAGTCTTGAACGTACCTTGTGGCACCGTGTCACAGTTGTTTATTTTATTTCTCTCAGGCAAATGAAGATGTTACGCAGATTGTGGAGATACTCCATTCTGGGCCTAGTAAATGGAACTGGCTTACTCGGCGTCTGGTAGAGTTTACTTCTTCAGGGAGCGTCCTCCTGTTTGTTACTAAAAAAGCCAATGCTGAAGAACTAGCCAATAACCTTAAGCAGGAGGGTCATAATCTTGGTCTGCTCCACGGGGACATGGATCAGAGTGAAAGAAACAAGGTCATTTCAGATTTTAAGAAAAAGGACATCCCCGTCCTGGTGGCCACTGATGTTGCAGGTAAGAGAATGGATTTCACTATAACCTCAGCCTTTTTTATATGGGTATTGGTCTACCCTGTAATAACACCTACAGCATTTGGTCATGTAGTGGAGCATGCCCACTGTATTGTCTGTGGAACAGCAGCTCTGTGACCACTGTCACTTACTGTTCTCTTTCATCAAAGTACCCTTTCAGAACAGTTACACCCTCATGTCTACTACAGAATCTTAAATTAGTAACAGGAGTTTTGGCTTAACTTCTGCTAAGTTTAGCAGCTACCCTTAAAAACTAATTTTTTTGGACCTGCAAGATGGTTCATTGAGTACTTGCCAACCAACTCTGATAGGCTGAGCTTGGTGTTCAAATATAGTGGAAGGAGAAAACTGACTCCCACAAGCTCTTCTCTCTCCTCTGTTAATATGCTGTGATATATGCATGCACACAGGCACAGATTCTGGGTCCTGAACTCACGTCTTTGTGCAAACACACTACTAACTGAATTACAACCCCTGGAAGGCTAATTTGTGTGATTGGGGTGGGGGGTATTATTTCAAGACAGAGTTTCTCTGTGCAGTCCTGGCTGTCCTGGAGCTCGCTCTGTAGACCAGGCTAGCCTCAAACTCAAGAGATCCACCTGCCTCTGCCTCCTCAGCATTGGGATCAAAGGTGTGTGTCACCACACCTGGCTTCTGTTTTTATTTTTGATGTGGCCCAAGTGACCTTGAGCTCTATTCCTCCTGCTTCAGTCTTTTCAAGTATTGGGATTACAGGTATCATTCCAGTAAAATTATCCTGTGTGTGTGTATATATATATATATATATATATATATATATATATATATATTTTTTTTTTTTTTTTTTTTTTTTTTCATATTACTCCCAGTAGTGTGAATTAGTTTTTACTCTTGGCTTCATACCCATGAGCTTACCTGGATAAAAGAAATTCATGGTCTTAAATTTAGCACTTCTAGTTACTTTTATTTTGTTGTTGTTGTTAACTGCAGGCAAAAAGTAAAAGAATCTGAATACTTTTTATTTCAGCCCGTGGTCTGGATATCCCTTCAATAAAGACAGTCATTAACTATGATGTAGCACGAGATATTGATACCCATACTCACAGAATTGGCCGGACAGGCAGAGCTGGTGAAAAGGGCGTGGCCTATACCTTACTGACGCCAAAGGACAGCAATTTTGCTGGTGATCTTGTACGGAACCTGGAAGGAGCCAACCAACATGTTTCTAAGGAACTGTTAGATCTTGCAATGCAGGTGAGGGTTGGGCATTTAAAATTGATAGAAATTATACAAGTGAATAAGGAGGGTCAGCAGGCAAGGGAGATGACAAGAGCTTGAAAAGAAAATGGGCAGGAAGAGTATGGTGAGTATGTAGATTGTTAGCATGGGATGTTGAAATTCATGTGTGTGTTCTTTTCTGTTGAAAAGCTTCTGCTTTCTTTGGGCTAAAGCCTGTTTCTTTACCTTCTGTCTGCTTGCCCTACAGCACACGTTTAATCTCAAAAGATGCCCATAGTTCTCACCTGTTCCTTTTCCCCAAGTCTTATCTTTTTCAGGGCTAAAAATATGTAGTGGTTTGTTTGTCTATTAAGGAAATAGTTGTGTGATGCTTATGTTTGTTTTATTTCTTTTTTGTTTTTGCTACTGTGGATTGAATCCAGGGTTTTTTGCACATGCTAGACAAATGCTGTATCACTGAACTACACCCCTGCCTCTGTAATGGTGGGCTTTAAGTATTTCTTACATTTTAACGTTTTACATCTCTGGCCATACTGATTACCCACTTCCAGATTTGCTCTGTTCTAAAATTAGTAAGGCATTATGTCAAATTACACCTTGAATCACTTATTTCATGCAGTTCTCAAATAACAAATGGATTCAGGACAGTTTGTTTTGTTTTTATTGCAATGCTAGAGATTAAACTCAGGCTCTGGTGTATACCAGGCGAACATTCTTTTTTCTGTTCCTCAAGACAAGTTTTGATAGAAGGAGATGTCTATTTGACTCAGGCCAGTCCACTTGGTTGTTTTAGCCTGTATGTAGCACTGCTGGACTTTTGGGAACACCCTTGTTTGTAACTGGAGTAATAAAAAATTACAATGCAGAAGAGAGGAGAATGATGGTCTTCTTCCCTTTCCTTGTTGTAGAGCAAAACTGAATTAAAATTCTAAGAAGGATAGTTTCCGTGGTGTTTTCCTATACCTTTTTACATCTTAGGCTTTCTGTGCTGAGTACCTTTACCAAGCCTGCCCTACTTGTCAAGTATTCAGATAAACAGTATGTAATTCTCAGGTGAAGCTTTAACACTGTGATGTTTGCATTATGCTTGTTTCTTGTTTTGAGGCAGGGTTTCACTGTGTGGCCCTGGTTGTCCTGGAACTCACTATGTAGACTTAGCTGACTTTAACTGACAGATATCCACATGCCTCTGCTTTCCAAGTGCTGGGATTAAAGGTGTGCACCACCAAGCCTGGCTAAAGTCAGCTCTTAATAAGTCTTATTTTACCACCACCCCCCACCTCATTTCTGAATGTGTCCATTTTTTTATAAAGCTTTGCTCCTAACTATGTAAGTTTATGTTCAATGGTATTTATATATTTGTGGGTTAAGACAGTAGTTCTCAATCTCTGGGTTGTGATCCCTTTTGGCGGGGGCGGGGGGTCAAAGGAACTTTTCACTGGGGTCACCTAAGACCATCAGAAAACACAAATATTTATATTATGATTCATAACAATAGAAAAATTAGTTATGAAGTAGCAGCAAAAAATAATTTTATGGTTTAGGGTCACCACAACATGAGGAAATCTATTAAAGGGTTGAAGCATTAAAAAGGTAGAGAACCACTGGGTTAAATAAAATATAGGGCTGGAGAAATGGCTCAGTGTTTAAGAGTACTTACTGTTCTTGTAGAAGACCCTGGTTCAGTTCCCAGCATCCACATCAGGTGGCTCACAACCACCTATAACTCCCATCCCAGGGGTTTCAATGCCCTCTGGCTTCTGTAGACACTGCCATGCTCTTTGTGAAAATAAACCCACACAGACAGATACACACACACACACACATACACACTCACACAAATAAACATAATTTGGTTAGACATGGCCAGAGTAACTATTTTACATTTAATGTTTATTAGTCACTTTTCTTCCAGGAGGCTAGAGGTAGGAATAGTAAAGGAAACCTTAGATAATCATCTGAACACGCTGATAAATTTGGTGTGTGAGCTACCAAAAAGAAGCCAGGCTGGAGTTGGAGGTGTTACAGCGCCTGACTAGATTCAATCCCTAGTGCCACATAAACTGCGTGGTGGCAAGTAGTTGTACTCCCAGTTCTTAGGAAGCGGTAGCAGAAGGTTCAGAGTTTCAGGGTCATCTGTGACCTCAAAAAGCCCAAGTTAGGAACTTTACTATGAATGGTCACTCTTGTCAAAAAAGCATCAACTAAAGATGAACCAGAAAATTCTTCCTTCCTACTTGTCTGCTTTCTTTGGCCTTTTCTTCCTTTGTGAGCTTAACCTTGAATTATGTTCTTTGCAGAATGCCTGGTTTCGGAAATCTCGCTTCAAAGGGGGGAAAGGCAAAAAGCTGAACATTGGTGGAGGAGGCTTGGGCTATAGAGAGCGGCCTGGGCTAGGCTCTGAGAATTCGGTGAGTTCATGCCATAGCAGTCCTCTGTCTTAAATCATGGTGTTTGATGTTCTTGAAAGCCTCCTGAGTCCAGGGGATGTGTATTTAATCTGCTGATGTGAGTCATCGCAGTTGAAGCTGCTGTGGGAAAGGTATGTGTGTGCTTGACTGACTAGGCTTGCTCGGGAAGTTGGTCTAGCTTGAATGCAGCTAAAATTTCAGTGTTCTAATGACACAGGGCGCAGCTGACATATATGTATAATTTGCCCCAAATGATTGCAGTGTTTTGTTTGATTTGGTTTAGAGACAGGTTTCTGTGTGTAGCCTTGGCGATCCTAGAACTTACTCTAGACAAGGCTGGCCTCGGAGATCTGCCTGTCTTTGCCTCCCAGGTGCTAAGATTAAAGTCGTGCCTCATCACCGCCTGGCTTGCAGCAGTCAAGAACCTTTCTATACTGATTTGTAGTCTGTTGCTTAGGAGACACTAGGTTCCTTAGCTAGAACAGTACTCAGAAATGGTCTCTATAACTCTGAAAACTTTGGTCAGAAGGATTTGAGAAGACCTAGGCAGTCTCACAGATCAGTTAAAGATAAAGTACTCACTCACTGGCTTGCCTGTTCATTGTCATAGTGATTCTTAATGCCAGGGAACAAGGCTGTCAGTATGCTTTTATGGAGCATATTAGTGTTAATTTGGCATCATTGATAAATAGTATTTCCCCATATTACAGTAATGTTGATTGTGGAAGTATTAGTGATTCGTGTAATTATTGAGCACTTTAAATGTGCCAGGGCCACTCCAAGTATTTCAGTCTTTCACTGATATAAATGAGTACAGTTAATGGAACAAAGTTACAAAGCAGCAAATGCTGAGCTAGAGATTTAGATATTTAATGGTGTTGCTTCAGATCCTGTGAAGCTACATTTTTCATCTTTAATGTTTTCACTTTTTAGAATGTTGATAAAATATATAATCATATAGTGGCTATTTGATAGCATTCTGATCATTGGGGTTATTTTCCAGAAATAATTTACTGGGTTGAGGGACTCAGGCATTTTTAAATACCTCTCCATTGGACCTTTTCTCCCAAAGGAAGTAACTTCTAAAAGAAGAGCCAAGTGCCTACCGCAGCCCTGGACCAGGGTTCTTAGTGTGATGTGGCTGGCTGTGGCAGCTGCTTTTCTAATAAGTATGTTTGTTTTTAGGACCGAGGAAATAATAACAATGTAATGAGCAATTATGAAGCCTACAAGCCCTCCACTGGAGCCATGGGAGATAGGCTGACAGCAATGAAAGCAGCTTTTCAGGTCTGAAATAAGCCTTCCATTTTAAAAGCTTTGGGGGGGGGGGGGGGGGCCTGAAGAGCTGGTTCAGTGGTTAAGAGCACATGTGTTTTTGCTAAGGATCCAGGTTTGTTTTCCCAGTACCCACATGGCAGTTTACAACCATCTTTGATTCAATTCCAGGGAATCTTGACACCCTCTTCTGGCCTACACAGCACACAGGCAAAATGCTTATAAAACGTAAAATTATTTAAAAAAGCTTTTAACAGTAACTCTTGGAAGAGTGAGGGACCCTCCCTGAGAAAGTTGAGTCTGTTTCATGTTAGATTTAGAGCCTTCTGTTTACTTGGATTTCACATGCAAGTGACCTGCCTGGATATGCATGTGGAGTGTACTGTGTCATTGCCAAACATATTTGTATACTCAAGATTTTGCTGTACTCATTCTTGATTTCCTTCTCTTTCAGTCCCAGTACAAGAGTCACTTTGTTGCAGCCAGTCTAAGCAATCAAAAGGCCGGAAGCTCTGCTGCCGGGGCAAGTGGATGGACTAGTGCAGGAAGCTTAAATTCTGTTCCAACTAATTCAGCACAGCAGGGCCATAACAGTCCTGACAGCCCCATCCCCAGTGCTACCAAGAGCATCCCAGGCTTCAGCAGTTCTGGGAATATCAGCAGTGCCCCAGTGACCTACCCTTCTGTTGGAGCCCAAGGTGTCAACAATACAGCTTCAGGAAGTAACAGCCGTGAAGGGATTGGGGGTGGCAACGGGAAAAGAGAGAGATATACTGAGAACCGGGGTGGTGGCCGGCATAGTCATGGAGATGGTGGCAATCGGCATGGCGATGGTGGCCGCCATGGAGATGGATATCGTTACCCAGAAAGCAGTAGCCGTCATACTGATGGCCACCGACATGGAGAGACCAGGCATGGGGGAAGTGCCGGCAGACATGGAGAGAGCCGAGGTGCAAATGATGGTAGGAATGGAGAAAGCAGGAAAGAAAGCTTTAATCGTGAAAACAAGATGGACCCCAAGGTGGACAGCAGCAAGATGGACAGAATGGACAGCAAGACAGATAAGACCCCTGATGGTTTTGCTGTTCCAGAGCCACCCAAACGCAAGAAAAGTCGATGGGACAGTTAGAGGGTATGTGAAAATGGGTGTGATCAGTTGTCTTTAATTTTATTTTTAGAAAGATTTGGTAACTAGGTGTCTCAGGGCTGGGTTGGGGTCCATGATGTACAGACCCCCTGCCCTTGGTGGAGAACTGGAGCTGGAGACATTATACCTTCACGTGGTATTCATTCAGATGTTTTCTTGGGAACCTGAGTTGGTCCTGGAAAGCAAAGAGCTGGGAGGCTTTTGTTTGTTCTGGGTGAGTTTTTAAGGAGGGTAAGTGGAAGATACTGAGGGAGAAAGGGCCTTATAGGGCACAGAACTCACTCTAGTTTATAATAGCTTATATTTTTTACTAAAATGTCACCTTATAAACATCTATAAGTTGGATTTTTTTTCTTAGCTATGGCCAGGCAGCCCCGTTTTTGTTTTTTTTTTTTTTGGAGTTGGCTTCTGCAAACCTTTGACCCTGTTGGGGATGCTTGGGAAGCAGTTTGGTGCTTTCAGATGTTTGCAGAGGCGATGCCTGATACTCAGGTTCCCCAGACAGCTTTGTTTTCCAGCCCTGAGACATGCAGGAAAGACAGACAGCCTTCCAGACTCAGGCTTTGAAATCCTAAGCAGTTAGGACTGAAGGAATGATCATCTTGGAAAAATTCCAGGATTATCCAGGCCTGGAACACTGCTAAATTTATCATTAGAAACCAACCCCAACAGTAGCTTTTAAAGTGTCTATTTCATTGTATTTTTTTTTTTAACTTTCTCCAATAGTAGTAAAAGTCTTTTGCTGAAATGATTCTGATTTTTGTTTTATCTCGTTTATAAAGGAAAAGAAATGCACAAACTTTGAATTTTGTGATTTTTGTGAAGGTTTCTTTAAGATGTGCATTCCTCTCTGCTTGCTCGATAGTAAATGTTTTACTACTGGGACCTGAGGGCTGTCGTTTCTACCTACAGTAGTTGCTACATATTAAATTATGGCTTGGAACAGTGCAGCCCATGATGTGAAATGTGGGGAAGTGCTTGCTTATTAAACTATCAGAAACGTTATCTCTTCTATTATCTTTTTATTCAAACAGTGGAAAAGGGTGGGAGAGGACTCAAAAGAACCACATTATCAATGTAAGGCTACACAACAAAAGGCCATCAACACTGAATTTCCCTCTAAGGTTTATTATGAAAAAATTGCTTCCATCCCAAGTTCTTTGTGGAAGAGTGGGTGTCAGTCTGTCATGAAAAATATTTCCTTGGTGCTTTACATGGACAATTGTATGTACCCAGCAATTGTCAGACCACCAGAGTAAACCGTATACCACATCTTCCTGGTTTTCAGTCTCTCCAGACAACACCGCTCATTTCCGCTTGTGTTTTTTCTTCTGTTCCTTACGTTGCTGTGCTCTCTGGTCCTTCTTCATCCTAGAGTCCACTACCTTGAAATGACCTCTGACTCCAGCTGGCCTCCGAACCTTACGGCCTACACCTTTTTTGGCTACAACATAGGTGACCTGGCGTTTCTCCTTGCCAAGTCCAGCCTTCTTGTAGAGACTATAAAAAAATGAAATAGGTTAAAAGGTCTGCTCACTCTTTTTCTAGAACTCTATTTAATCCGGTGTCTTTGTGGCTATTCTTTGCCAAATTACCTTCGCAGCTGTGCCACCTTCTCTCGCTCCGAGATATCCACGGTGTTCACCACAGCTTCTGCCTTCTTCTTTGTCTGCTCCAGCTTCTTCAGCATCTGGGAGGGAACCTCGGTTAGGTGACTTCTTACTCTGCGTCTTTCCTCCACAACTCCTAACCTCAGGCAGTCTCAGCTACTTACCCTCCGTTTCTTTCTGGCCTTGGCCTCAGCTACTTTCTTAATGGGCCGTGCGTTGATTTCCCGCCAGCGTTTCCGGTAATGCTCCACCTCCTTCTTGTCAACAGGCAGCTGGCGTATCCGGTGCTGCTTCTCTTCCTGCACAAACCACTCTGGAAGCTCCCCTTCATCTTCATTGAATGCATATCTGAGTATAGAGGACACCAGGCTGTAAACACCTGTTACTTTCCTGTAGTCCACCGCACTTCCTGATGTTCTGGCCCCTTACCGGTTGAAGGAGTTATCTATAAGGTCTCTCTTTGCCTTTTTGGAAGAGGCAATAACAGCACCTAGAGCAAGGCCTTCAGGGTCCAGAATTCGATGTTTAACTAGAGAGGGAAAGACCAAAGTCAAAGCCCAATTCTCATTGCTGAAACTTGCACTGGTTTCTCTCTCCAACGTGTACATACTCCTTACCTGGGTCCTCAATAGGCACTACCTCAAACCCATCATCATCTGCCTTAGAACCACGGCTTCGCTTCACACCACAGGCTGCTTTCCAACTGTGGAAGAAGGCAAAATTGTGCTTGCTTACTCCACCCGTCCGAGGTGATGAAACTCCATCGTGCTTCAACTTTACTCATTTAAACCTAATGAAATTGCACAGAAATCCATCAGTTACATTCACTTACCTTTCTTCATCCTCACTACTGCTGCTATCACTATCCGAGCTGTTGTCTCTGTCCTCCCCTTCAGGGTCAGTAACAGCTTTTGTCCCCGAAACAGCCTCTGTCTCCTTGGGGACCTCATTCTGGCCCTGGGGGGGTTTCTCAGTCTTCAAATGAGAAGGTGGTGGAGGTGGTTCTGATGGCTGCTGCTCCTTCCGACGGCTCTTGTACAGTATCTGTGCCTGACTGATCTCCAGAGCCTCATCAGCATCATCCTCAATCCCACTGAAGCCATCCTGTGTAAGAAAATCTCAGCAACTCCTCAGAGACCCCGGGAATGCCGGTGTCCCAACAGTCTCTCTAGCTTTACCTTGGAAAACCACAGGTTAGCTTGCTCTTCCTGCAGCACTGCCTTTTCTTCCAGTGGTACCAGCAATGGATTCTCTCCTTCCTCTTCTTTACTGTCATCTACTTGAGCAAACCGCAAGCTGTAGACACGAAGGAAAGTGAGATGAAGCTTCTGTCAATTCCCACACTAATTCTATTTCGGGGTAGCAGCATTTCCTCTCATACAGACAGCTCTTACCACTTCTGCTCCTTCAGATCAGAATGTGTCCTGACTCCTGCCAGCTCTTCTGAATCCAGGTCACTTTCCAGAGAAGTGTCATCATCCTCAGCATCTGATACATAGATGTCATCCCTTGGCAGATCAGACAGAAAGGTGTCTGCAGCGTTCATGTCTCCTTGTGTTACTTCCTCTAACAACTGAAGTTCAAGAGGAATGGAGTCAAGTACTTAAAGGCAACACAGTGCATTTTCTCATGTCCATTAACTTAGTTCATCGTCAGCTCTAGCAGTAAGAAAGAATACTGCCAAACATTAGCTCCTGTTTGGCACAGGAGTCCAGAGCACAGATCTACATACTGATGAGTTTACAAATATATTAAGAAGCCACTTGAAATACGTGAATTCACATCTGTACATCTGGTCACAAGTAAAGGAATAACCAGACAGCATGCATCAAACTGAACTACTCACAACCTGAAAACCTATTCTCACAGTGGACAGAGTGCTATTTGAGTGTCTATCACAACATTCTAGGGATTTTTTTTTTTTTAATTCTCCATACAATGTGCAGTGGATATGGTATATTCTTGTTTAACAAATGAAAACAGATGGAGAAAGTACACAGTTAAAAGTTACATTAACTCAGGTGGAGTTGGAGCTAAAAACAGTTCCTGCTCTATTGCCTCTCCTATGTCACAAAGACTGTTTTTACCACAAAAGCTCATTCTGCTGTGAGACTGCTTTTACTGTTTTTAAGTACTTGGCGGAAGCACCACCCAGCAACACAATGCAAGGTGCTCCTTAGACCCAGTGAAGTGAAGACAACTGTGCCCCCTTGGAATCTGGTCTGTAATGTACATTCTTGGTCTTCATACTTGGTCTTACAAATCTTACTGATTTCATTTTATCGTGCATGTTTCCTTTTAGCATTTGAGTCACAGAATAGTTTCATTCCCCTTACTGACTTGTATGTGAATACAGTATCCAAATCTCATGATCGCTTCAACATTTCCCCAACCTCCAAGCCCTCAAACTGACTCTTACTCATTTCTTCCCACTTACCTGCTGACCCCGGATGGTACGCAGGGAGAACATGCCTGTCTCTCCCTCATCTGCAATGGAAACCCCAGGCAGATCCATCTTTAGCTCTACACGTTCCCGCTGCTTCCTCTGCTCACGAAGCAATTTCTTTTTCTTCCTTAACAGATACACAGTGGAGGGATTTAACCTGCCTGTCTCCAAAAATCCAGTGCCTTTTACCATCTCCTTGTATTCTTCCTCATACTCACCTCTTTAGTTCTGCCACCTCTTGGGCTTTCATCTCTGCCAGGGTCCGGTTAAGCTGCTCCTCCTCCTCTTCCGAGGCCTGCTTTGTCTCAGCTATTGGCTCTTCCTCATCACCTTCTTCTTCTGAGCTGAGGCTAACAAACCAGCCCAAAGAGTTTGCTTATTTTCCCAGGGATGGCCCAAAACCCAGCCATCCCTAACCCTAACCCGGTTACTTCCTCACCTGATGTCCAGTGCCTTTGCTTGCTCCTTCAGCTTTTTAGCCACATATCGCCGAAGCTTTGTTCTCCAATTCAGTAGAGACCTACCCAAGAAATACTATTACTGACTAATCATACCATCTCCATCTTTGTCCCTGTCTTCTTCCTGAAAGTCCACACTCCAAATTTCAGACTTCAGCTGTATGTAAACTTAACCGAATCCCTGTCCCCAGAGTTCAACATCATGATGCCATTACACCTGTGTACCTAAGTTCCTTGCGCCCCAGCACTTTGATATCCTGACAGCATGCTTTTATATCCTCGGTTGTAGCAGGGTGTTGTGCCAACTCTTCATCATCTATTGAGATCTGTTTGTGAGGAAAAGGAATGAAATGGGATTTTTTGGCCATGTTTCTGTGGCTCCCTTGTACTACCCTCAATCTGAAAACTCACTTCGCTGGCCTTGGAGAGGAAGTCAACAGGATTGGCAGCTCGCAAGAAGTCAGTGACTGAAGTTCGGTGGTAAAGGGTGAGGTCACCCTCAGCATAGCCTTCCGCCTTAGGAAGGGGAATAAAGATGATTAGAGAACCCCTTCTTAGATATCAAACTTTCCCAGTTTTCAGGGCCCATTCCTCAAAACCATAACAAAAACCACCTTTGGCTTCTTTGTTGTTACCAACTCAGTAACAGTTTTAGCCTGAACTTCAACTTCCTTAAAGGCAAACTTGGGATCGAAGAATTTAGTGTCAACTTTGTCCGGAGCCAGGAACCCTAAAAAGAGAAGAAAGATCAAAGGTGTGCTTCCATGACTACAAGGCTACACCAAGAAGAAGTGATGTCCCACCTTGGCAGACTACAAAGATTTCTGCAGATTCATGGCGAGAGGCCTGAGGCTTTGTGGCCTGGACACGGTGGAACAGCTGCTGGAAGATCCACAGCAGGGGCTGATAGTCACGGGAGCGGAAGACTTTTGTGATGAAACAACCACCACGGGCCAAAAAGTCACAAGCCAGACGCAGAGCCATCAGCGTTAAGTGAGCTAAATGAGTAAAGTGTTAGAGACAGTCCGTGAGAACCTCTGCAGCTGCAGGGCATGCCACCTCCACCTCAGCTCCAAGCCCCAGTACCTTGTGAGTAAGCGTCATGGACCCAACTAGCCCCAACATTGGGAGCCCCATCATTGAGCACAACATCAACTTTCCAGGTCTTCAGCTCCTTCCTCAGAGCCTAATGAAAATAAAGGGTTTAAAGCAATGGAACACGATAATGGCTAAGAATAGAATTCCTGGTTCATCTATCTAGTCCTTTACTGAGTGCCCATCACTGGCAACATCCTGTGCCAGGTATTTAGGCTACAACAACAAACAGTATTTGTCTTCACCAAGCTTAGAACGAATTCACGGGAAAGAACTTTACTGAAGTTCTTCCACCAATTCCCAGCACTATCCCTGCCAGTCATGGTGCCATTTGCCTCAGATTCCAGTACTCAAGAGGCAAAGGCAAAAGGACTACAAGACCAAGGTCAAATTAGG